CTCTCTCTCTCTCTCTCTCTCTCTCTCTCTCTCTCTCTCTCTCTCTCCCTCTTTCTCCCTCTTTCTCTCTTCCTTTCTTTCTTCCTTTCTCTCATGCTTGAATATGGTATTGTTCCCCACCTCCCCATTGTTTTTGTTTTTGTTTTTTTATTAATCAAAATCTCAATTGCTCTATTTTACCAATGAAGACTCGGGAGCCAAATGCTGGGGAGAAAACCTGCTAGCTCAAAGAGACAGAGAAAGCATGCAACTTACCTTCCTCCACAGCTGACCTCCCCACCCCAAAATTCTCCTTCTCAAAACCCCATTTAATCTGAATGTCCCTCCCTTCTCTCCCTGTGTGCCTCTCTATCTGTTTTCCTAACTCCCTTTTACACTTTATGGTATTTTCTTTTCTTCTCTATGTTCATTCTCTGTCAACTGGTTGCTTGCTCTGCCTCTTGACTCATGGTCGACTTTATTGAATTCTGTTTATAATACACAGAAAGCTCTTGGATTAAAGGTGTGTGCTAGGGCTGAGCTGTGGACACAACTAGAAACAGGTTTTTCCAGTGAATCTCAGGGTTCACAGTGTGATCAGATATCCAGCAACCTCCGCCTTCCCACCTTCACTTTCATGTCTTAGGTTTTTTCTTCCACTTGATCTAGACTATTGAGAACTCTGCTTAATTGACATTCATTTCCATTTGGCTTTTGTCAGCAACTCAGTTTCCTTGCTGAATTTCATACCTGTGCTGCTGCCTGTATCTTCTCTGTTGCTAATGTTTTATAGGATGGTATAATATAAATAATAATAATATAGGTATAATATAAAGAACAGCACATAAGCAGCAGGATTAGGTAAATATAAGAAGAACAATCCAAAGGGAAACATAAATGCTTATTTTTAAGAAAAAGCTAAAATGCTAAAAAGTTAAAAAATGCTAAAAGTATAGTGAAAAAAAAAAGAGAGAGAAGCAATTGCACAAGAGGGAAGGAAGTATGAGGATATCTGAAGGTTAGTCTGCTAGGCGCAGGGAAGGGACTGAGTCCTCAAGTTTGAGTCTCTTATCTTTCTTATCAAGTAGTCTGTTGTGACCACAGACAAGTCTGTGGCAGATGTCTAACAGCTTTTTTCCTTGTGGGAGCTTTTCGTCTTTTTGTACTAGGAACATCTGATGGCCACTTACAGCTTTACAGTATATGAGGAAGGGGTTGGTCCCATGCCACATAGACTCCCCGGAGAATCAGTGCACCTTGGAGTGACTACATATTCGGGGTGTGTCTCCTGCCTGGGGGAAGGAAACAGAGCACTGATTGGCATCTAGTCTCTGTGCTTTATAAATCACTTCATAAAAGGCTTGGAGGTGGCTCAGTGTAGAGCCCTTGCCTAGCATAGATAAGACCAAAGGTTCAGTCTCTAATTCTGCAAAATAATAAAATCTGCTTCTTAGTGTCTGCTTTCTATATAATCTGGCAGAGGGGCTCTGAACTCTACCTGATCTAAATGAAACTCACTGATTCTGGAACTGTGTGAAAGAACATTTAAGGGCTGGGTAGAGATGTGGATTTAGCACTGCAGAAAAGCACTTCTTGGCTGGTATGAAATCCTGGGTCCAGTTGCCAGACCAAATTAAAACGAAGAATAGCAATGATACTTTGTGAGCATATTTCAAAACAAATGTAGCTATACTTCTAAATGAGCTGTGTGTGTGGTGTGTGTGTGTGTGTTTGTGGTGTGTGTGTGTGTATTTTTTGTTTTTGTGGTTTTGTTTTGCTATAAAATAATCTTGATTTTGCCAGAGCTCTTTCACGAGTCCCACTACACCTCTCCATGCCTTTTGAAAGGTGCAGGGATAGACTAAAGGAGATCAGGAAAGAACTTGATTGCCGTGTAGCATGGCTTTCTCACTAATGTGCTGATGTGTCTTAATTCAGAGAATGGCAACATAAAAGAAAAAGACATATTGGTTTTGCCCCTTGAACTTGCTGACCCAAGTTCCCATGATATGGCTACCAAAGCTGTTCTGCAGGAGTTTGGGAGAGTAAGTATCAATTTTTGTTGATAGAATATGCATCATATCACTTTCCCTACTTTGGTTAAAATTGCCAAAGAGATTCTTATCTGTGGTTACTCATTCAAATCGAGTCACATGGGATGTATTAGTGGTCAGGTCTATCACTTTGATCTCTTGATCTCTGGGTCTTGGACTTTAGGTTATTAGTTTTTGTTTGTTTGTTTGTTTTTTAACCTTTTAAAATCATAATTCCTATTGTAGATAGAAGGGCCAAAAATTCACCACAACTTTGATATTTATAAGTTTTGGTGTATTTTTGTGAATTATTACTCAAACTGAATAGATGAATTCTGTTGATTTTGTCTCCTTTTTTTGTTTGCTGATGTTTTGTTTTATTTCAAGATTTTACTATCTAGCTCTAACTGTCCTGGAACACTTCGGGTAGACCCAACTGGCCTTGAACTCACAGAGATCTGCTTGCCTCTACCTCCCAAGTGCTGTGATAAAAGGCATGCATCTCCACACCTGAATTGATTTTTATCTTCTTATTGTTGACTTTAGAAATGTAACATTGCTGTACAGATTCACTTAATTAACAACATAACCACTCATCACTAGGAATTCTGTTCATAGACCATCTGTAAAGAATCTTCTTTCTGACTTTATTGAATTAGATTGACATTCTAGTCAACAATGGTGGAAAAGCCCATGTGTCCTTTGCTGTGGATACCAACCTGGATGTCTTCAAGATGCTGATAGAGGTGAACTACTTAGGAACAGTGTCATTGATCAAGTGTGTTCTACCTCATATGATGGAGAGAAAGCAAGGGAAGATTCTGATCATGAACAGTCTTTCGTTAATTGTGTCCCACCCACCCTGCAGTGGGTACACTGCCAGCAAACACGCTCTTTGGGTAAGGCTGCTTCCAGTCAATTCTGTCAGCATTGACTGCAATGTGCATGAGGGATTTGTCCATCAGTGGGAGAAGTTGATGGAACTAAGGGATAATGTGGGGCTACAGAAAGAGAAGAACGTTGAGAGTACAGGACCAGTCAATGACCAAAAAATATTAGAGCTGCATATGCTTATTACTAATTCAACAGATTTTTTTTTTAATTGTACACCTTCATGAAATGAATCCTGGGGAGGAAGATTTTTTATTTTTTTATTTTTTTTGGTTTTTCGAGACAGGGTTTCTCTGTGTAGCCCTGGCTGTCCTGGAACTCACTCTGTAGACCAGGCTGGCCTCAAACTCAGAAATCTGCCTGCCTCTGCCTCCCAAGTGCTGGGATTAAAGGCATGGACCACAACCCGGTGGAAGATTATTTTTGATCTAGCAAGCATATGTTGTCTTTTGCTTTAGCCTATTGCTACATTTTCAAGACAGATTGCAAGTCTACCCTTTCTTCTCTGCTCTTATTCTGTATTTGAGAGTACCTGATAATTGGTTCTGGGCTCCATATCCCTCCTAAGAAAACATGGACTCTGTTAATTTTGGTTTCATGGAAAAAAGAAAATTAAGGCAAAGGCTAGGAGAAAAGCCTGGTCAGCTTTGTCTTATGAGTAATGAGCATCAGAACAAAATGAATTCTTAGGTCTGCTTAAGAGTGAAACTGGGAGGTGGTGGTGCATGTTTTTAATCCCAGCACTTGGGAGGCAGATCTCTAAGTTCAAGGCCAGCTTGATCTACAGAGTAGGTTCCAGGATAGCCAGGGCTACACAGAGAAAAACTTGTCTTGAAAAACCAAAGAACAAAGAGTGAAAAGAAAGCAATGATAAGGCTGGTGATTAAAAAACACATAAAAATCAATACATACCAATAAAGGTGACTCCCCATGTTAGCCTCAAACACTCTCTATATCTAAGGCTGGCCTTGAACTTCTGGTTCTCCTGCCTTCAACCTCCCAAGTGCTGACATTATAAGTGTAGACTAGCACACATAGCTTGAAAGAAATTTTAATGGAATATTTTACCATTGGAATTGTACAATGTAGTGGTTCAGGTCACCATAGCTCCATAGAAACTGAAGGTGTGGTCCAGCAGGACCCTTCTCTGCCTCACAGAGCAGACAATTGCATAGTGAGGAAGGGCTATAGCTCTGATGCTCTCCTCAGATTTAGTTAGAGCCCATCATCAACCTCCTGTAGAGACAGTCCCATTTCAGACAGGCAAATGCAGTTGAGTACAGACCCCTATTCTGTTGGCATTTGACTTATAAGACATGTAGAATGTGCTTTGTGAAAACCAGAAGCTCTGTCTCACCTGTCTTCCAAGGCTCTGTGTTATGACTGGACTTAATGGGTTGGCAAAATGTGCCCAGTTGATGGGCCTGTGAGATGCTGTAGCTGATGAGGTCTGAGAGCTGTACCAATCTACGGAAATATGTGTATATGTGTATGGTGTATATATACACACATGCATGTATTTATATATATGTATCCGTACATATATATTATGTGTGTGTTTTACTTGATTGTATGTCTACATACTAGGTGTGTGCCTGGTCCTTACAGAGGCCAAAAGAGGATGTCAGATCCCTTAGAGCTGGAATTATAGGTGATTGTGAGGTACCACGTGGGTGCTGAGAATCCAAGGAGGATCTTCTGGAAGAATGGACAGTGCTTTTAGCCACTGAACTTTCTCTCCAGCGCTAGAGATACAAATTTAGAGGCAACTTGATATTATGTTCATATAGCAAAATAATAGTAGTGGGTTCATTCATGGTCTAGCTTCTTCTACAAGTCCAAAAGAAGGCAATCTCTTTGTATTCATCACTAGCTATGCGCTAATCGTCAACCTAAATTTACTTCACATAACTTATTCACTAATATAAAATGGTAATAGAAACTGAAAAGTAAACTTATCTATGGTGGTTTTGTAAAGTCACCATGCAGCGGTGAATTCGTTAATCCGTTTTGACTCCTGGTGGGGCACATTCGTGCTGCACTCACTCAAGAGCTCTGGATTCATTAATGACACGCGCGCACACACACACACACACACACACACACACACGCATACACACGCCAGCTAATTTTGATATGCCTTGACTAACTCAATGGCTGGGTACTTCCAATCCTCCCTGCAGCTAGCACACACTTCCCTCCAGTATTCCTGGCTTAATACCTTCTAAATCTGTATTTTTTCTTTACTGCTCTGTTACCTTCTAGGCAGCGCCCCCTACAGGGCCGCTTTCCCTTTCCACCTACCCTGCTGGATGATTTCTTTCCTGCAGCTCTTAAACTTGATCCCTCTGCCTTGGAGTCATGGAGATTCCACTCTTCTCCTCCCTCTCTCCCTTGGTCCCTTGGCCATGCAATCTAAAAGTCCCACCTCCATCTCCCTGCCCAGCCATTGGCTGTACGGCAATTCTTTATTACCACTCAAAGCCAGCTGGGGGCGGGGACCCTCAGCATCTGGAAGCGTGGCTTTGGGAGTCAAATTAAGACAAAGCATTAGAACCAATTCCGAAAAGTTCCATTCCTGTTTTGTTTTTTTGCCTTTTGCCCATTTTTTTTTTAATTTAAACTTCTTCTTTTTTTTTTTTTTTAATCTGTCTAGGGAGTGAAGCTGCCTCTCCACTGCTACCAGGGATTCTCTGTAAAACAAATACATCTGTAGAGTGGGGAAGTGGAGACTAGTGGAAAGAGGGATATACAGGGGTCTTCAGAGATAAGTTTGGTTCCTGCTTGGTACTTGCCGTAGAAGCATTGATGGCAGAAGCTACGGCTAGCGTCCACTGAGCCCCCGGGATTTGACAGGACCTGAGAGCACCTGCATGGGGCCATGCACACTAGGTCCATGGCCTGCGTGCACGTGAGCCTGCGTGCACGTGAGCTGTCCTTTACTCAAGCATTTTAGAATACGGTTCCTCAAGTCATGAGGAACTGAGATGAAATGAGGCCTGTATTTAATTTTATTTCTCTCTTTTCTTTCTTCTTTTATTGCCTCTTAGGGGTTTGTTAATGCCCTCCGAAATGAACTTTTGGACTATCCAGGTATAACATTGTCTACCATTTGCCTAGGACCTGTGCATTCTAATATTTCCCAGAATTCTTTTACTAGAGAAGTCACTAAGGTAAATATTTTTAGCTGGAAAACAGTTGGAATGTTTTACTATTTATCCCACAGTGTTGAATCATACAGATGAGTGCTTCTGTCAGACGTGCTTATGAATTAGCCAGATAGCCACTCTTGTTATGTGGACTTGTTAACATTAGCTGGCAGTGTTTGGTATCCAGTTTTTATAAGGCTAATGGAATCACTACAGTATCGGTGGCAAGTTGGCCACCCTGTCCACCATTGTACAATAACTCTGTAACAGATAACAAAGTCCCTTTTTTTATCTTCTTCTACCTCATCACTGCCTATGGGGTTTCATTTTTGTGAGATTTTCCCTTGGCTTTTGAAGTGATACCAGTTGCTAGGCACTGTGGTAAAAACAAGAGGTGCTTTGATCTTTCAGTTAGCCAGTACAATCTCTACTGGTCTGTATGTGATTCAGATGAGGCTTTGTGGAACGTCATGGAAGTTCACGACAGCCAGTAGCACCTGTAGAAACTTGTAATGAGTGCAAGGCTCCATAGTGCATGGGTCCATCCTTCTTAATATAATATTTCTGTAAAAAAAAAAAGCTTGATAAATCTTCAGCATCCTTTTTCTTTCAAACTTTTTTAGACCAGAGGGCCTAAATCCCGGGAGCTTCCCAAGATGGCAACAAGCCGCTGTGTGCACCTCGTACTAGTCTCCATGGCCAATGATCTGGAGGAAGTCTGGATAGCTGAGCAGCCTGCCTTGTTTTGGACATATGTGTGTCAGTATGTGCCATTCAGGAACTGGATAATTTCAAAGACGCTATGGAAGAAAAGTATTGAAACCTTTAGGATTAACATGGTATGGGTGACTTACTTGTTTTCCAGTAGTATGCATTCATCTCGCATGAAAATATAGTCTTCAAAAGCTTTAGGATAGTTTTTGCTAACTTCCAGACCCAGCTCACACTATAAATACCAAAAAATACATAAGCTGTATCCTATCATCTCATGTAACTGACAGTTTACCACAAATCGCCAATGGCCTAGGTGTTCCAGAAGAAACATGGCAAGCAATGTTTTCTTCTATACTTATTGACGAAGAGAGTAAGTTTCAGAAACCCTTCTTCTCTGTTCCTTCCCATCATCGCTTACACAGCCTTCCGTCTTAGCTCACGGCTCACTTCCTAGAAGGGATACTTCTTCTCCTTTCTGCTTCTCCTGGGGACAGGGGCTCCTCAGCCGTTGAGCGTTTGTTCCACCTTCAGCACAACCCACTCCACTAAGACAAATTGACACATCACACACACACACACACACACACACACACACACACACACACACACACACTATGCAGTCCTTATTTCTTCTCTCTTGGCCCTAAAATACTCTACCCAACTCAGACTGGAAGAGAACAAGACTTACTACAACACTGAGTGGGGAATACTACCTGTTTCTGAAAAAAAAAAAAGTTTCATAAATTCAAATCACAGTGAATGTAATGAGTTAAGCTTAAAAATCTCTTATTACAGTTATGTATAAGAAGGGCTATTGCTGGGTATTGTTTTCATTGCTAAAGTCGTTTCCTTTGTACCCTTTGTGACAAGCATCTCCTGAGATTTGTTTTTACTTATGTATTTGTATTTTTATGTGTGTGTATCTGTTACCTGTCTGTGGATGCATGTGAAGGCCAGAAGAATGTCAGGATGCCTGGGAAATAAGCAGTCTTCTCTAGTTTTTAGACACCTAGTGACTTCTATCCTTCTGTGTTGTAGTGAAAAGGAATTAGTTAAGGGAAAACCAAGAGGAAACTTTAAGAAAGAGCTTAAAGACACTAAGATTATAAAACATTTACATGGTATCTTAAAATGTAGAGGTTGAAATACCATGAGCAGGGCCTTTTGCTGACTACCAGGTTGAAATGCAGGCCGGCTTTCTTTGTGTCCAATCACTTCTCAGCATTCTAGTTCTGGGTCTTGGTCATGTGAGATGGTTGAGGCAGACTTCATGGAAAGCTACCTGTGTTTTGAATCAGGAGGATGACTTCAGGAGCTCAGTGGACAGAGAAGCCCTGAGAGGGAACGATTTTGTACAAGAGAGAGATCAGTACCCTAGGTCAGAGCTGGGATATCTGGGTTCAAATCCCAGGTCTGAGGCCTTCTTGCCCATGGTCTTAAGCAGGTCACCCCTCAGACTCAAGTGGTTCGGCTATATAATGGGGAGTCGATGGTAGTAATACATCACAGAGCTATTCTGGGCATTAAGTAAGAATACAGGGGCAGAGGCACATCCTAAACACAGCCTGGAGTATGGTCAGGGCTGCTGTCTTTCTATTCTCCATTTCAAGATGAGTTTGGGAGTTGCAAGGGTAGATGCTTGGCTTGTTTCCCTGTTGTGACTCTTACCAATGGTTACATGAGGATAGAAATGCGTGCGTATTGCTTCTTTATCCTGGTTTCGGTTCTTCTCAGTGTGTACCCTGGTGTGACTTATGCTGGAGATTTCATCCTCCAAAGCTTTGTCTCCAAGCTCAACCTCCATTAAGAAGTAGAGCCTGGTGCAAGGTCATGGAGGTACCACCCTCGGGAGGGATTAATGGACTTCTCACAGAACTCTGAGAGTTCTAGAGCGAGTAAGTTGTCATAAAGCACAGCTACCCAATATGACTGGTTTACTTTTCCATTTCTCTACAGGGTGAGCCAAATGACAATCACCACAAGATGCTGAGCAAATGAGGTTACCTAATCCTGCACTTTTGGCCATCAAATGGGTGAGATGAAAAACCAGTTTTCCTACAGCCACAATTCTAGTCGCTAAACATCATGTCACAGTCCCAGTGTGGAAGGTCCAGAGGAGTTAACACGCTGTTCCTATAATCTCAGTACCAGTTAACATTTTCAGTAACAATAAGACAGAGATAGAAGACATGGCAGAGATGGTCCCTCAGAGGGAGAGAGGGACCAAGCATGCTACTTCTGGGTGCACAGTCTTTCAGAAAGGTCTACTTGAGGCTATTCTATATTTACAGAGCATCTTTTTCTAAAATATGATCATCACACAATCCTTGCATTGAATTTTATTTAGTGATTTCAAAGTATCTGGTCTTTCCTTCCCAAGATCAAATCTTATTTCTGTATAAATTAAAAGCGTTTATCTTATATATAATGTATATATCAAATAATATGATTTAAATGTCATTATGATTTGATTTTGATTATAGAATAATTTGATGTAAGTGATTCTTTTTTCTTTCCATTCTTCTTTTTGTTTCTTTATTCCTTTCTTTTTCTTTTCATTCTTTTTTCTTTCCCTCCTTCCCCTCTCTCTTTCTTTGGAGAGGGTCTTACTGTATAACCCTTGCCTGAAACTCACTATGTAGACAGGGCTAGCCTCTAACTCACACTGAACCTCCTGCCTCTGCCTCTACCTCTTGAGGGCTAAGATTAAAGGCACACACTACATACAGTTTTAAGTAGAAGAAAATAGAAAATTTCAGATTATAAGACCAGATGGAGAAGAGACTGAGGGAAAGGAAGTCCAGAGATCAGCCTAACTTGGGATCCATCTCAAGGGGAGGCTCCAAGGCCTGACACTATTACTGATGCTATGGTGTGCTTACAGACAGGAGCCTAGAAAGGCTGCCTTCCAAGAGGCCTAACAAGCAGCTGACTGAGACAGATGCAGATACTTACACTCAACTAGTGGACTGAAGTTAGAGACCGCTATGATGTCAAAAGAAAGTTGGCCTCTAAGTCAGAATCCACCTGCCTCCTGAGTGTTGGGATTTTAGGTATCTGATTTTCTGTTGCCCTTCATTTTCATCTTTGATTTAACTTTTCAACATGAAATAAATAAAAAGTAAAATATTGCCATGACTATTGAAAAAATGGATAATTATACTATATAATTGAATAAAATAGCACTTTTTGTGTGTGTGTATCTGCTTGTGTTTGTAGACCTGTGATCAATCTCAGTTGTCATGCCTCAGATACCACTCACCTTGATTTTTTTTTGTTTATATGTGTTGCTTGACCCTTCCCTCTACTCTTCCCAGTGCTGCTACTACTTCCCCTCTCCCCCAGATCCATTCCTCCTCTATTTCCTTTTTTTTAAAAAAAGAGCAGATCTCCTAGCGATATCAACTGAACGTGGCATAACAATTTACAGTAAGACTAGGCACAGACCCTCATATCAAGGCTAGATGAGTCGACCCAGTAGGAGAAAAGGGGTCCCAAGAGCAGGCAAAAAGAGTCAGAGATGCCTCCACTCCCAATGTTAGGAGTCCAACAGAAACACTAATCTACACAACTGTAACATCTATGGAGAGGATCTAGGTGAGACCCAGGCAGGCTCTGTGATTATTGCTTCAGTCTCTGTGAGCCCCTATGAGCCCTGCTTAGTTGATTCCATGAGTTTTCCTATGTCCTAAACACCTCTGGCTCCTACAATCCTTCCTCCTCCTCTTCTGTAGGGGTCCCCTGGCTCTGCCTAGTGTTTGGTTGTAGGTCTTTGCATTTGTACTCATCAGTTGCTGAATGACATCTATCTGATGACAATTGGGCTAAGCTCTGGTGCCCAAGTATATGTAGGATATCATTAGGAATCATTTAATTGACTTTTTTTTTTCCAGTCATCTTTGGTTCTATTCTGGGCATCGGGAGTGTTCCTCTGGTTTCTGGCCATCCAGGCTGTGTCAGATGTGGCACTGGACCTCTCATGGTTTGATGTACTGGCTGGTTCTGTGTGTCAACTTGACACAAGCTGGAGTTATCACGGAGAAAGAGCCTCCCTTGAGGAAATGCTTCCATGAGATACAGCTGTAAGACATTTTCTCAATTAGTGATCAAGGGTGGGAGGGCCCATTGTGGGTGGTGCTATCCCTGGGCTGGTAGTCCTGGGTTCTATAAGAAAACAAGCTGAGCAATCCAGTAAGCAGCACCCCTCCATGGCCTCTGCATCAGCTCCTGCCTACGTGTTCCTGCCCTGTGTGAGTTCCAGTCCTGACTTCCTTTGATGATGAACAGCAGTATGGAAGTGTAAGCTGAGTAAATCCTTTCCTCTCCAACTTGCCTCTTGGTCATGATGTTTTATGTAGGCACAGTTTTATGAAGGGATACAAACCCTGACTCAGTCAGTTAGCCATTCCCATAACTTCTGTGTCTCTATTACCCCAGCATTTCTTGCAGACAGGACAGATTGTAGGTCAAAAGTTTTGTGGCTGAGTTGTTGCCTAGTTAAACAATATGACCGGTTCAGGGTCCAAATACCCCATTACTAGGCATTTTTGCTAAGTTCACTCTGGACTGTGGCCTCATAAAATGAATTTTGTATTATTCCTTATGTTTTTATTCTGTGAATAATTTGAGGAGGATTCAAAGTCTCTGTACTGAAATTATCTGACCTTGGGATTTTTTTTTTTTGGGTGGGGGAGACTTTTAATGACTGCTTCTATTTGCTTAGGGGTTACAGGTCTATTTAAATTATTTATCTGATATTGATTTGATTTTGTAGAGAACAGGTCTTTAAAATATGACCTAATAATTGGTTCTTTCAATTTCTTTCTTTTGTGTGTGTCTATTTTTGTCTATATTCCTATTTTTGTTAAATTGGGTATTCTCTCTCTCTCTCTCTCTCTCTCTCTCTCTCTCTCTCTCTCTCTCTGTCAGTTTGGACAAGGGTTTGTCTATCTTGTTAGTTTTCTCAAAGAACCAACTCTTTGTTTCATTGATTCTGTGTATTGTTTTCTTTATTTTTATTTTACTGACCTCATGCTTCAGTTTGACTATTTCCTGCCATATACTCATCTTGGATGAGCTGCTTTTTTTTTCTTCTACAGCTTATAGGTATGCTGCTAAATTGCTA